TCAATGGTAAGGAAGTTGGACAGTTTTGGCGTCAACCATAGAGGAACCTCTGAGGCCCTTTGATTCAAATGCCAAAAAATCAGAATGTCGCATATAATACCGTGCAAGACGGGAGGTCAATCACCACATACTCAAACAACAGGGCGATATATAACTTTATCGTATACAAAACATAAGATCAACCAAGGAATTACGAAAAGCTAATTAAACGTGCTAAAAAATTAGGACATCTTAATCAGAATGAAAGACGTGGTTGAGAGACAATATTGACAACATAAGAAACATCACCCCAAGGGCAGTCGGTAAATCTAAATCACGTATCATTTATTGCGACATTCGCTTTCACCATCTAACGAGACCAGTATGGGTAATAGAAATAATATGGGTGTTTTAAGAATGCATATATACAAATAGAAAACAAAGAATACTTACCATACAAATCAATAATATGTTTCTGAAGTTGTCACTATTGATAAATCCTCAATTCCAGTATACAGTCTGGATTTGTAACATGATAAAAAAATTCCATTAAGGGAAAACTCTCGAGAGCAATTTGCTCAGTGGTTTTCAAACGTAAATAAGATGTATTAATATATAAATTATTATGACACAAATGGCTACACTCCAGAGTTTAGTGCATCGCTAAATATTAGCAACTCTGGCTGCATGTTTCTTTTTCCATTGCCGTGTATTACAATCTTTCAAGAAAAGTAAGTCATGGTTCCTATTGTGCGTTTGGTCATCAATTGAAATGCAATAATGCCATTTTGAGCCAAGATAAACTTTTTAATATGTTTCAAAGAAAGATTTTCTGTTCTTTTTTACACACAAAGACTATCTCTTCTTGCTAACTTTTTCATCAGTAAAATGGTGTATTATAACAGTAAAACATCATTTATTATTTGCTTTCAACTCATACCTAAAAATTAGCAATTTTGAAATGGTGAAATAAATATTTAAATAAAATAATTTTAAAATTTAACTTGAAATGTGACCATGGTAGTGTTTATTTAACTTCATCCATGCAACACACTCCTGACATCAGTCACTGTCAAGTTTGCTGTACTTGATTAGTTGATGCTGCCTTCATTTCAGGAGGACGATACCATTTCCATATTTTGAGGAGCTGAAGGATGACTGTAGAAGAATTTATAAAGGCAAAGTGTATTAACCCAAAGCAAGAACATCTTCTAAGGCACCATGTGTGGCATATAAACCTACCCTTCACAGGATTTCAGATTGCAACAAATGACGTTTGTTCAGGAAAAGAGATTTATACAAATTGTTGGTGACCAGATGTATGGGTCATCATTCTCCGTTTACAGGTGGATCTTTCCTTTGCTCCGGCATACACGGTTATGCCTTACTCTCAATTAAAGCAATACAACAATGAATGTGTATATGCGCATTTCATAGATCATGGTCAGAGACATTTAAGGCACGTTATAAATTATGTTTGAAATGGTGGCTCCGGCATAACCAATACCTTCCCACGTGATGTGAGACACACGCGTGTACCGAGGAAGGAAGCAGATTCTTACAACGAACAGCATCTCAGTCACTTTATGGGGAATGAAAACTTTCCCCACCCCTCCGCCACAAGCCGAAATGAAGACGATATATTTTATTGATATTAAATATGCATTTAATGAATTTCTTTGAGTTAATTAATTGTATCAGTTCCTTGGTTACATTTGAACAGGATCTGCACATTTTATGAAAGCATTAACTTTTTATAAGTTCATCTTAACAATTTTTATCGAGTAATGCAGAAAATGTAGGGACTGTAAAAGCTTTTCCATCTTAATTAATACATTGTTTCTTTTTTCACTTTTCTTTAAAACGAGTGATTGATCATACAGACATTCCGTTTGGCGACATTACTGATTGGCATAATTTTATGGTATGCTCATTGAGATAATTGTATCCACTTTTCCCGACATCAATATAATGAACTTACATATTTGCTATTGTTATGTCCATTTCGTAAATTTGGTTTCAATGGTTATGAAAATTTTCCTAAAATGTCGGTAATAGTAACAGCTATCACTATATGCATTTTAGCAAGCTATATGTTCCTCAGTTTGTGTATACTCAAAATCTGTATGTACCTATTTTTGTGTATCTCAAAATCTACATGTACCCCTTTTTGTGTATGCTCAAAATCTACAGGAATCTCTTTTAGTGTTCACTCAAATTCCATACGTACCTCATTATGTGTATGGTCAAAGTTTTATATACCTTTTTGTATACCTAAAGTGATATGTTCCTCTTTTTGTATAAATTCAAAATCCATATGTACCTTGTATGTGTATACTTAAAATATATATGTAACTCTTTATGTGTACACTCAAACGCTATTCCCATTTCAGATATGACCAACCCATTGTCTTTCAACTCTTGGTCCATTTTTATATGAAATATAAATACCTCAAAGGGGAACAATAATGTGATGAATTCTAACATTTATGTTTTCTTTTTGAGTTTTGTGGAACCAGCTGACTTTAGAAGGGGATCAAAGTTATGAGAAAAAAACCACGTTATCCATTTTAGTTGATATTTTATTAAAATGCACTGCTTTCTAGACATAAGATGTGCTTTATACACGGTAATATTTATTTACGACATGTTTTTTTTGGTGTTTTTACAAGTGAATTCCATATGCCAAGCTTTCAGAGAAGGTTTAGTGTAACCAATTGGGATCTTCGTGTCACGATTTAGTCTCCATGATATCGACAGATTATGACGGTAATGTAGCCTTATTTTGTATATATTTTAAATGGTCATTCATGAAAGACGTATGAATTTACTTTACACAGTGTGTGTATAAGCCGAGGCAACGTAAATTTATTACATACTTCCATTGTTGTGCGTGCAATCCATACCAATCAATCATTTGCATCCTTTTTTGGTCAGCGAGCGCTGTGTAATTTGATTTGCTATTTGCGTCACATGACCTTTCCCTAGACATAGTACTACATAAATATAATGATGAGATTCGCGGTTATCTACTCCAGCATTGAGTAACATTCACATATTTACAACATTTGCAATGTTTAAGGCCATGTTAGATCTGCGTAATGAAATTAAAATGGTTTGGTCCATATGAAATTTGACATGTTCGACAAGTCGTAACCTTATCTTTCACCTTTGTCTCCCCATATTATCTGCTTGATTTGTAGCCACCTTATCTTATACATTTGTCGCCCTAAATTGTAAAGCAGTATATTAAGTCTTGTATGATATCTCCAGTTTGTATAGTTATGTAACTATATTGAAACAGTGCAATTGTCTGTTCGTCCGTTTTCTTCTATGTAATGTAGCATACATATAAATAACTTCAGTGTTTATCCTATCTGTTCTTGTGTTACTCTTTCTATATATAAGTTAGACATAAATATACAAAACTCTTGTATTGTTGATGCGGCATTCCTGAAGAATATAATTCCTTTTTGCATATACATATGTTTATTTTTAGTTCTTGAGAATATTTTACTATAGAAATTGAAATAACATCACTATTATAGCTAGCGAAGAGGTCAAGGTCGAGTAGCGAGATATTGCGATAACGCGCATGTGTAAAGATAAGGAACGCCAACACTATACTATCATCTGTTTGAAAACAGTGGCACCCAAAGCTCCTGTTAATTTTGGTTTACTTTGTTCATGCTTATTAAGGAAAGAGGTGAATAAACATAAAAAGGCTTTAGTAACATTTATGAAAGAAAATATTCTTTGTTTTCGGACTTATTCAACGTTAACAATATTCATGCTTTCTACTCTTATTTAGAAGGCATTGGCAATTAATATATATTTCTTCCAACTTGCAAACATTACATTGCACAAAGAACACGCATGAAACAAGATACGTCAAACAACGTCTGTCAGAACATGCATGATGTACAAAAGAACACTCTCCACACGATTGCATTGATTAACCATACTCTTGCATGACTCCATCTTTGCTATACGAACTCACGTCACAATTATTACTTCCGGATTACGAGGAAGGTAATCCCAGTCTATATGTAGAGCTTTGTTTCCTCTCATGTTCTGATGATGATAGATGAGTAAGAGTTCTCGGTATTGATTTAAAGGAAATCGTTTATTCTTTCGTATATGAGGAGTAAGGTGTAATTGTATGCATGTATTGTGGTGACAGTATACAGTGAGTAATAAAGCATGATGCCGATCCGAAAGTGACGTTTGTGACCAACTGCACATTGTTCCGTTTACTGTCCAACCTGTCAAAAAAAATCCAGCTGAATAACTATAAGTACTTCACACTGAGTGCGTCCTTAAATATAATTTTGATCAACATGCAATTTATTTGGATTTGGGCAATTTGGAAAATTAAATATTGACAAACAAAGTTTGAGAACATAATGGAAAGATAATTGTCATCTAAGTCAATAGGAGGGTATGGTAAAATGCTTCATTGATCGCTGATAGCGACATAAGGCGCTTATGTAAAACATTGCAAAAACAAAACAAAAAAGACATATTTAGCTATATCTAAATATTTCAAAACACTTTTTCTACAAGCATTGAGCGCAAGAAAATATTGATGTTTTATCGCAATATTTCCGTCATTATTGCAAAGGTATTATGAATGTGTGTCCTGCTTAGAAAGAACGTCACTTTGTGCAAACAAAACAAAAATTTAGTCAGCTGAGCTTGAAATTAAATACAAGGTCGCAATTGTTTTAACAAGAACGACTTTTGATAGCCTATGTCTGCAGTTGTCGAACTAAGTAATTTTGCAATTTTCCCACGGTTCGTTTATGGTCAACTTCTCTGCTGATAAGTTTTTTGTACAGTTGGGTCTCGCTTATTGATTCTATATTACTGCCATTACCTCGATTTCGGTTAGCGTTGTGCCCTGACAGTGACGACGACCCGCCGTTGGTTTGAACGGTACTTTTGAAACATTATTCGATATTTCATAGCTAAATAATTTTAACTAAATGCTTTCCATATGATGCCTATGAGCAACTGACAAACCTGACATGGGCGTGTATTGAACACACTACCCTTGAATTACGAGTCCGAAGCTCTACCAGCTATGCTATCACTGGGTTTAAAAATGTAGAGTTGGACTACTTCTTAGTCACTGTTGGAGGGTAGGTGAGAGAATAAGCAGGACAATAACCCAACTAAACCTTTGTCACGCAAATATTTTATTTATATAGTTTACACGCTCTATACATGTTGATGAGTGCACTGTTATGCATTGCAGTGGGTGCATTTTTATTTACCTTAAATCAATTAATTTTCTCTGACAGTTGGTCATAATACAATTTTTGAGTTTCCACTTCGTCACATTGGTCTAAATGATTTCTAGGTCTGTTTGCTTTTGTTGTTGGTTTCTAGAAAACAGTTTACCATCTACCAGGATGTTCCACGAAAGCAAACTGGCCGAGGAGGCAAAGAGAAATAATTAAGTTTTTACAATTTTATTTCTTCAAATGGATATTACATTGAGAGACCGTTTTTACACACTCTATATATATATATATATATATATATATATATATATATATATATATATATATATATATATATATATATATATATATATATATATATATGATGTGTTGTAAAAGCCATCTTCCGTTAAACTGAGATCGGCTACCATAATCCATATTTACTATAAATTATTCTTCTTTCCTGTTTTCTATACTCAAAGGCTCTAATAATTGTTATATCTATTATTGATATTGTTTTTATTGTCCTTGGTGATAGCTGTTGTGTATAAAGAGATTGTTGTTATTATTGTTAGTATGTTATGTTTTTTTTCTTAATAGTAGTAATAGTATTAGTTGTAGTAATAGGTTATCGTCATTATTGTTTGTAGTGGTAGTAGTGGTAGTAGTAGCAGTAGTAGTAGTAGTAGTAGTAGTAGTAGTAGTAGTAGTGGGTTATAGTCATTATTGTTTGTAGTGGTAGTAGTGGTAGTAGTAGCAGTAGTAGTAGTAGTAGTAGTAGTAGTAGTAGTGGGTTATAGTCATTATTGTTATTAGTAGTAATAGTAGCAGTAGTAATATTAGTAGTAGTATTAGTAGGAGGAAAAGGAGGAGGAGGACTGTTATAATAACTTAATTAAAGTGCCAGAATGTCAACACTTTATCTGAATAAAAATACTGAACACGTAGCATTGTTACAATGTTAAACACAATACATGTTACAGTGTCAAAATGTTTACTGTGCTTTCTACCGGCAGTATTCAAAATTAAAATAAGAGCGGAATATTCTCAACGAGAATTGTTACTGCCTTTTAACATGTTTCGAGAGATATGCGTGGGATTTTAGTACTTTCAAACAATGAAGGATTGTTTTATTATTATTTTAATTTTATCTATGATAAAACAATAGACAATTACATATTTTCAATAACTAATCGTCGTATATAATAACTAATCGTCTTATATATTGACACCGGAAGGACCATGCTAGTCGCTGAGTAATGGGGTGAAAAAGAAACACTTAATGCTAAGATTTATCCACGCCGTAGAAATCGATCCGCGGAAGTTAGCTTTAGTTGAATCCGTGTCGTTTATATATATATATATATATATATATATATATATATATATATATATATATATATATATATATATATATATATATATATATATATATATATATATATATATATATCATGTTTCCAGTCCGAGAAAAAGGTTCAATGAGTTCGAGTGAAATGTTCATGCATAGTGGATGCGGATTCAAATTCGAAAAGAAACGGATCCTTAAAATAACCTCAGTGGAAAAATATGCCAACCAGTCTGTACAGAATGTAAGACCGCCTGGAGATTACTCTTCATGATATATTCGATGCATATCATCTTGTGGTGAGAAAAATGTATGTCTTCAAAGAAGAATCGCAAAACTTCTAAATATTGTTTCTTATTTATAATAAACATAAATATTTATATAATAAAGAAGAGAAAAAAGCAATGTAGAAAAACATCTTTATACTTATCGTTTAGATATTAGTGCTCAAAAATATAATTACCTCAAAACTAAAACAGCCTCTGAAAAAATCCAATAAAACTTCTTAGAATTGAGATAAAAATGAATATTTAACCTAAACATCATAAAATAAAGAGATCAGCTTAATTTACGCAATGGTGAAACTCTGGCAACCATATGTCAAAAAGATTTAAAATGTTGTTCCAGGCTTTAACTCTCCAGATTTTGAAAGCATCACAGATTATGCATACTTTTCTAAATAATTTAAAAATTATTTTACAGTACTTCGGAATCTTTCTTCTCCAGCAGTTCGGACAAATTATTTTCCAGCACTTTAGACTCTCTATTTACCAGTACGTCAAACTCTTTCTTTTACATCGCATCAGACTCTTTCTTTTACAGTACTTCAGACTGTATCTTTTATAGTACTTCGGACTATTTCGTTCACAGTACTTCAGACTCTTTTCTTTTATAGCACTTCATACCCTTTCTTTTACAATACGTCCGACACTTTCTTTTACAATACTTTAGACACATTTTTACAGTAATTCAAGCACTTTCTTTTGCAGTACTTCAGACTCTATCTTTTACAGTAATTCGGACTCTTTCTGTTACAGTTCTTCTGTCGCTTTTTCTTTTAAAGTAATTCAAACTCTTTCTTTTGCAGTACTGACTCTTTTGATCTATATTTCCAGTTTTACTGGAATGAGAACATCGTGCGAATTTATACAGCCGTCTACAAATCAAGGATAGGAATGCTATCTTATCTGTATCTTTTATACGCATAAAATTCACAGCAAATTTCGGAAAGTTATCTGCATGAATTAACTCGACAGCATATCGGCAAATCTGCCATGGAAAAATGCGTCGTTAGATTTGCGACGAAATCATGCCTCATATTGCGGCAACATATCTAAATGAAAGAATGCATCATTAAATCTGCTGTGTTATTATATGCTCTTTTTTATCCATTAACTTTTCATTCTCAGAATCGTTCAATATTCCCTTATATTGAACAACTTCATATTGTACTCCTCGCGCTTTAAGCACGTGAGCGCGCGGTACGCTATGAAGCTAAAAGGTCGGTGGGAGGAGCAATATGCGCATGAATACTATTATTGTGCATTAAAGAAATCTACGATTGTGAACTTTATTATTTTAACAATAAAATAATAAATTTTGTTATTAAATATTTTTGGTTGTGAATTTTATTACGAAGTCTTTGGTAGTGAAACAAAAATGAGCATATAATATAAAGGTTACTGCATTTGTATGGGAAATATGAACTCGTTTCTTCAGATGGATATACTGCACTCCCAAGGTCGAGCTGTATAGCCATACAAATGCAGTAACCTATATACCTTGATTTCGTTCATAGGAATATGGAACAACTGTGTGTATATATATATATATATATATATATATATATATATATATATATATATATATATATATATATATATATATATATATATATATGAGAATTATTTACTAGGTTGTCATGCGAGTGTGTCTGCTGCGCACGAGCTTATATAACAACGACTCAGTACCATCATTTTTTGGTGATACGTGCTTAGTTGTGATGGTATATGGGCTGGTGCCTGCAGGCAAGGCGATAGGTGCCATTTACTCGCAGACCTGGATTCGAAAGTCCGTAGAGTACGAATTTAATTTCTCTAACCTGTATGATAGTATTGTTTGTATCAAACTATATATATATATATATATATATATATATATATATATATATATATATATATATATATATATATATATATATATATATATATATATATATATGAAATTCTGCCCTGACGTATTACGTGGGCAGAGTGAGCTATGCAATTTTTCCTACTGATTATTCCAAGCCAACATCGTAGATTCTCGTCAACTAAAAGAACCTTGATGTTCAATCGATGTACTAATTCACATCAAACTGATGTAAATTCTTTGCCGGAAGTATGTCAGAGTAATCTTTCTTTGGACATAAATTGTATAAACAAGAAAATCTGGAAGAAATAAAACTCATTTTCTGATATAAACAGTCGTCGGGAAAACGTAAAAGCAGTTCTGGATTTCTTTTTGTCGTCTCTAAAGGTGGCATGAAGTGTTATCAAAGTCTATCCATACGTCTCGCATGCCCATGCGTCATAAACATACTTGAAGCTGATTATGGATTTATGCTAGATGGTACTTGGCTTTGTATAAAAAAAAAAAAACCTTCAACTTCTGTTCGATTTTCATCTATTGCCTTGATGAATTGATTGATGATCACATAGTCCATGACTTAAAACTTTGCACATGCATTATGAAATATGTATTCGCAGAACTCGTTATGATTTTCGTAGATTAAAAGGAAATTTGTGTCAAGTACATATAAGACAAGTTTGAGTTTTACCTGTTACTGTATATATTTTGTAGGTCTATGGGTCGTATTTAACTTAAAAATATGATAATGTATCTTGATCTAATAAGTCTGCTAGCATTAATGTTCTTTTCCAATTTCCTTATGAAATTTGAAGGTTAATCAATCTTTATGGGGCAACCTGATAACACTAGTAGAGGTACCTCGGCAGTCAATGTCACGGGTTTAGATTCAGTATTAAGGTTCATTGGAAAGGGGAATACGCAATAGCATTCAAGACAACAATTAAACAAATAAATAATATTTATTGCAAATAAATCTCGTCCAGCCCATAATATGTCTTTCTCCCATGGTCCGCACTCTTTAATTTTGTTTCATTATATTTCTTGAAACTTATTTTCGTTCAGATTGGTGACTTAAGAAACACAATGACTTAAAGCACAGCTCTCTCTCTCTCTCTCTCTCTCTCTCTCTCTCTCTCTCTCTCTCTCTCTCTCTCTCTCTCTCTCTCTCTCTCTCTCTCTCTCTCTCTCTCTCTCTCTCTCTCTCTCTCTCTCTCTCTCTCTCTCTCTCTCTCTCTCTCTCTCTCTCTCTCTCTCTCTCTCTCTCTCTCTCTCTCTCTCTCTCTCTCTCTCTCTCTATCTCTCTCTCTCTCTCTCTCTCTCTCTCTCTCTCTCTCTCTCTCTCTCTCTCTCTCTCTCTCTCTCTCTCTCTCTCTCTCTCTCTCTCTCTCTCTCTCTC